TTCGGTAGACAATTTTTAGGTGCCTCATCTGCCCAGTCCTGGTAGTGTTTCGTCTCTTAGCCTTGGCACTCCAGTTATACTTTCTCTGGTGCTTGGCAGGGTAGCCGCATTTGCCACAGGTAGACTTCTGAAGGTGGTAGGCCTTAGAGCCACAGCAGCGGCACAACGTGTGCGTCTTGTTCCGACGCTTTCCGAAGGATGACGTTCCTTTCGCCATCTTGCTTCTGCCGCCGAGGCCAAAGAGCTTTAATTTAAATTTAAATTTCTTTAAAGGATTTATCCCCTTCCTTTATAAGGACCTATACACTCTTTATAAAGTTGTTTTAAGATCTTTTCTTTATGCGTCAGCTGTTTTGGAATGTTTGGGGCTTGCTGTAATAGGATAACTGGGCTCAGGTGGTGACATTGCCATGGTTGTTGTTGACTGGATTCTTTTTGTTTTGTTTTATTTTGTTATTTTTTATTGCTTTATAAATAATACCATTCAAAATTTCTACTTCCTCCCCTCCTCCCATTTCCCTCCCGTTCCCCCACTCACCTTCCCCTCCCTCCAGTCCTAAGACAGGGCAGGGTACCCTGTGGGAAGTCCAAGATCCTCCCCACTCCAACCAGGCTTAGGAAGGTGTGCATCCAATAGACTAGGATCCCCAAAAGCCAGTACATGCAGTAGAGACAAATCCCAGTGCCATTATCATTGGCTTCTCAGTCAGCCCCCATTGTCAGCCACATTCAGAGAGTCCAGTAGTCCAGTTTGATCCCATGCTCGTTCAGTCCCAGTCCAGCTGGATTTGGTGAGCTCCCATTAGCTCAGGCACACTGTCTCAGTGGGTAGACCAACCCCTTGTGGTCCTGACTTCCTTGCTCATATTCTCCCTCCTTCTGCTCTTCAGCTGGACCTTGGGAGCTCAGTCCAGTGATCTGATGTGGGTCTCTGTGTTTATCTCCCTCCAGACGAAGGTTCTATGGTGATATTCAAGATAGTCATCAGTGTGGCTATGGGACAAGGCCAGTTCAGGCATCCTCTCCTCCACTGCCCAGGGTCCTAGCTGGGGACATCTCCGTGGACACCGGGGAACCCCTCTAGAGCCAAGCCTGTTGCCAACCCCAAAATGGCTCCCTTAATTAAGATATCTTCTTCCTTGCTCCCATATCCATCCTTCCTCCATCTCAACCATCCCATTCCCCCAAGCTCTCCCCAACCCTCCCCTTCTCCCTTCTCTCTCCCCCTCTCCCCTTCCCTCACCCCACCCCACCCCCATGCTCCCAACTTTTGCCTGGTGATCTTGTCTGCTTCCAATTTTCTATGTTCATAGCAGCATTATTTGTAATAGCCAGAACCTAGAAACAACCTAGATGCCTGCCTCAATGGAAGAATGGATAAAGAAAGTGTGGCACATCTACACATTAGAGTACTACTCAGCGGTAAAAAACAACAAAAAACAACAACAACAACAACAACAACAAAAAACAATGACATCTTGAATTTTGCATGCAAATGGATAGAAATAGAAAACACTATCCTGAGTGAGATAGCCCAGACCCAAAAATACGAATATGGTATGTACTCATTCATTAGTGGATTCTTGCCATAAACAAAGGACATCGAGCCTATAGTTTACGATCCTAGAAAAGCTAAGTAATAAGGTGAACCCAAAGAAAAACATATATAGATCCTCCTGGAAGTTACTGTGTTCTTAAGCTGGCATCTAGGTATCTCGGTTTGGGGTGATTATGGTTCTATGCTCCTATTTCTCAGTTTATCTTTGGATTGGTGTTTTGTTCCTTAGTTTATATTTGCTCTCTGATCTTCTGGTCTGTGTATCCTATGGTTGAATAGAGGTTCCCCCTCCTAGGTTGGGAGCTTGAAAACTGGCGGCAAGTATGGCCTCTATACCAGCAGGGAGTCTCCTCCCAGACTGTTGGCTGAGAAAAGGCAAGGAGGGGAGGAGGGACTAGGGATAGTGTGGGGGCGGGTCCATGGCAGGTGGTCTGCCTGGACTTCTGGTAGCTAATGTGTCTTTTGTTTGAGCAGAGCATCTCTGCTCAAGTTGGGGCTAGGATACAGCAACGAGGAATGGAGTGGGAATGGGGATAGTGTTGGGGAGTATTGAAAGAGTGAAGGAGGTTCTAGGGTCACCTTCTCGCAGATTCGAGGGTCCTAAGGACAGAGATGTGACATTGGCATAATGGAAGATATGAGTACCAATTTTGCTCTTTAGGAGATTTACCCCAAATAGCTTGATCCACTCTGTATTTGTTTCACTTGAAAGTCACAAAGTGTACAATTTCATTTTCATGTCCTTAAATTCATTCCAAGAATCTAGATAATCTGAAGTTTTATCACAGGTTTCTTTATCACACTCTTTTTTTGGTTAGGCAGAGGTTTAATCATATGACGTCATAGTTAAGCACATCTCAATGGTCATCGTGGTTAGCATGTTGTATTTTAAATATCTAGCTGGCAGCCAATGCAATGAGCTTTACAAGTTTTTCTCTGACTCTACTCCGGCAGTGTCCATAGTTCTCTCCTGTATAAGCACAGCCAGAATAAGGAGATTAAATTTGTTGGCACAAGAGCTAGTTGACTCTTGGCCAACCTCTCCTGTTTTCTGACTGCCTGAGCTTCTGGTACCTATAGAGATAAGTTTCTTGTCCTCATGTTTATGTATACTTATTAACTTCTCTAATCCATTCTTGCAAGGACTGTTTTCTCAGTCAGAGGATACTCTGTTTTTTCTGAGAACAATTATGTGCTTAAAAGAACTGTATTATCTCTATTTTTGTCTTTTTAAGAACTTTCCTGGGATTTGAGTTTCTTCAGAAATCATTTTCTCAGTCTGGTCATAAATTTTTAATAAATCCACCTTACAACTCTATAGGAGGTTTCTTCTGTGCCATTGTCATACCCATCACAGACAAAGTGAAAGAAAACAATTATCAAGAGCACAGCGTAGGCTGAATATTCTGTCACCCCCGTCTTTGCAAGGCTTGCGAGAACTTCTCTGATGTTTCCCACAAGGAAAGCCATCCATGAAACACTCAGTCACTGTTCCGGGAACAGAGCCATGGTTTCCATCCACTAAGTCCATGGGTTAGCAGTTTCCCTGGATTTCTGCTGGATGTGGCCTCTAGTCCAGGAGGAAGTCTTTGCCTGGTTTTGCCTACCTGTTTTGGCTGATGCAGCCGGTGCATAAGCATGGGATGTCTGCCACAGTCCCTTCGTTCTGCATGGGAATATATTCTGTGTATTTGTGTGCTGGAAATGTTTGATTTGTTTCTTGGTATTATAAGAGATTGTCTTGAGTATCAGAAGAGACTGTGAACATTTGAACAGTGTAGGGGATGTTGTAGACTATGACAGTAGTCGAAGTTAGATTAAATACATTTTCATCATAGGATGATAATGAGTCAGCAGTGACCTGCGTCAGCCTGTGGTCAATTGGATGAAAACCTCCCAAATACAATGATGTATTTGAATACTTGTCTCTCTTTGGTGGCTTTATTTGGGGTCCTTTGGAACCTTTAGTAGGAGGGGCCTTTCTCGATGAAATTCCTCATTGGGGATGGGATTTGCATGTCTAGCCACAGCCCATTTCCTGCTCTTTGTGTCCTGCTCTCATGACTTCACCACTCTTATAGATGGTATAACTAAATCATATAAGATACAGTTGAAGCAAATGCTATTCAGTGGTAAGCCATTTTGCTAGCCTAATATGTTTTTTTTTTCCAAAAAATGTTGTTTTTATTTTTGTTTTTGAAGGCAAGGTTTCTCTGTGTAGCCCTGGGCGTCCTGAAAGTAGCTCTATAGACCAGGCTGGCCTCAACTCGGAGGTCCAAATGACTAACTCCTGTGTGCTGGGATTAGAGGGGGTCCAACATACCTGTTTTTTTGTTTTGTTTTGTTTTTGTATATGTAGGTTTTTGTATATGTCAAGTGTATGCTTTTGTGCTGAGCTTCACACACATCTTGAATTTTGAAATTTGTTAGAGGGTATCATTCTCTTTCCCAGGATGGCAGTATTCACGACATTAATACTGCCTGAGCCTTCTGAGGCATTGGATCGCAGGTGTGTGACATTCTTACCTTTTGTGTTTGTTTTGAATTATTTGAATGAATGAGCCTTTTGCCGGTATGGATGGATATTTACTGCATGTTTGCCTGCACTGGACAGTAGTTGGAAGATAGCCTTAGAACTCCTGAACTTGGAGATATATTTTTGAGCCCCTGTGTAAGTATTGGCAATTGAACCCACCTATCTGTAAGACCAGCAAGAGCTCTTAACTGCTGAACCACCTCTCCTGCCCTAGGATGCCCACTTAGGATTGTCTTTTTGTTGCTAATATTTTCATCTATTCATTTGTAACTGTTGAAACATGCATTCCCTTATAGTTAGATCTTAATGTTAAGTTTAACCTGGGGCACTTCAGGCTTCTGGAAGATGAATACAGCTGAAGTGAATGTATAACTCTTTGTAGGAATGTCAGTGAAAACCCCTGAGTTCTTTTTGCCTTTTTGTTTGATTGATTTTTGAAGGGGAGACAGAGCTTATTAGTATGTAATTCTGACTGTCCTAGATTTACGACATAGACCAGACTGACATCCACCTCAATGACATACACTTGCATCTGCCTCCTGAGTGCTGGTATTAAAGGCATGAGTCAATACACCAAGCTTTCCCATCTTTTTTTGTAGTTAGTAATTGGTCATACAGTTTCTCTGATGGTACTCAGTACCATTGATCTGTTTGCTTGTCTCTTTTTATTTCTGTTAGTTGGCATTTCTCTTTCAAGGCTATATCCCATTCAAAGGGTGAAGAAATGACAGAGGTAAACTTCCTATTAAGTTTCCTTCTAAAGTGGCTTGGTGATTACATTAGAACTTCAGTCATGGAATAACTGTGGGAAGTACCAGAATTATACAAATATATTGTCAAAGAAGTATACATTAAAATGCTGTCAGTATCATGTTTTCTGTTGTACACATGCGTGGGATATTTTAGAATGCAGTGACCTATGATGATGTGCATGTCGACTTCACTCTGAAAGAGTGGGCTTTGCTGGATCCCTCCCAGAAGAATCTCTACAAAGATGTGATGCTGGAGACCTACTGGAACCTTGCTGCTATAGGTAAGACTAAATTTTACTTCATGTTTTAAAATAAGGGGACAACTGTTTATTGGTTATTGATATTCTTCTATAATTTCAATTGAGAAAGGAAGAATGAGGTGAATAAATTAGGCATGGTTTTTGTAAAGATTTTTTGGCCCAAGAAACCTCTCCACCGACACAATAATTTAAATCAGACCAAATCAAACCGAATTAGAAAAGGCCCAGGTTAAATGGATGCCAGCACTCCTGGAAAAACACAAAGAAGGGAACAGAGAACCTAGAGGACCACTCATTCTCAGATAGGGGGAGGCAGGTGCAGTTTAAATAGCTTGTGGGACTGGTCTTGACCCTTCCTGCAGAGGAGTCACTGTTTGGTGGCTTTCTGTAACTCCCAGAGGATGGGACTTGAAATGGAACTTTCTACCTAGATGGTCCAAAATGGATGCTAGGGGCTAAGATGAAGCCCTGTTGTAATAAGAGCGGCGGGCTGGGCTGTGTCCCGCCACCCGGCTAGCTTATGCCCCGAAATAATTACACAGAAACTGTATTCTTTTAAACACTGCCTGGCCCATTAGTTCCAGCCTGTTATTGGCTAGCTCTTACATATCGATCTAACTCATTTCTAATATCTCTGTAACACCACGAGGTGTCTTACCAGGGAAGATCTTAACCTGCTTCTGTGTCCGGTAGGAGAATCATGGCGACTCCTTGACTCAGCTTCTTTCTCCCAGCATTCTGTTCTGTTTACTCTGCCTACCTAATTTTATGTCCTATTAAAGGGCCAAGGCAGTCTCTTTATTTAACCAATGAAATTAACACAAAACAGAAGACTCTCCCCCATCATTTCCCCTTTTTTTGTTTAAACAAAAAAGAAAGGCTTTCACTTTAACATAGTAAGATTACATATAACAAAACATATATCAAGCAAGAATTATAGTTACAATATTTATATCTACTTTATCTTTTATCATAACCAAGGAAAACTATAACTATAACTAACCATTCTTCAACTCCATCAAAGACTCCAGAAGGATATAATATTACCTAAGCAAACAAGAAATCCAAAGCTTTAGAAATGACAGAGACATCTTGCTGCCTGTACAGTCACCCAAAGTTCCTCTATACCGTTGGGGCATCCATCTTCAGCCTTCAGGCCCATAGTATCTAGCAGACATTTCCACGAATCAGAAAATTTCAAAGACAGTTCAGTCACTATCTGCTGTGTCCTGCAGACTGTCTCGCAGACTCTTTCATGAATCATGAACCCCAAAAGACCATCTCACCTTTAGGCAAGTTCAGCAGTTCTCTCTCTGCGGGTTCTCTGTGTCCATTTTATGCAACAGTCCAGGCAAGAGCAGTTTCTTGCCCAAATGGCTATCAAACTCCATAAGGATCCTCTTCAATGCCCATCTTCCTCTCGAAGTAGATTGGTGCCACCAGGAGCAGACATGTCTCATTGTCATGAAAAGTCCTAAGTTATTAAAATATTTTAAATGCCATATTCTGCAGTCTTTGAGAGATATGAAGAATGCCTATCTGAAATATATCTCTATATATCTAGAAAATCTAAGTAACATGACTACAAACTTGACTATTATTTATGATTATCCATCAACAACCTATATTTCCTAATTATACATTACATTTTAAAAATGAACTACACAATCACAACACCTTATTCAAGATCAGAAATACATATACATATAACAAAATTGACCTTAAAATCCATACCAATGCAAATTATTCATACCTATATCATTTCCCCCTTTAAATGTAAAAGAACATTTATAAACAATATTTTGGGAACATGGGCACAGTTTTTTCTCTCCAAACTGCTTCCTGCTGAATGGGGCACTGTTTATCAGATCATTTAGGGTGTAACCTGTGTGCCAGGTTTATCTCAGTTGGCAGTTGAGTGAAGTAATTTTTTGAGGGTGTTCACAGCAACTTTTCTGGAGGTCGTGGTCTATCATACCATATTGGGATAGAGTCAATCCACAGGGTCTGGTCCTCTGTGAAAACAAAAGAAGACCCTCTCCAAAGCATCATATCCTTAGACCCAAATTTGAAATCGTAATACCCTTATATCCATTCTGGTTTAGCTTGGCAGCCCATGTAATGAAATGTCTCTCTGTACTTAGCTCCTTCACAGTCAAAAATTTTAAAGAAAACACAATGTACATAATCCAGACTCTCTGTGAATTTGCCATTTTTACGTGGCTTATTTTTCTTTATTTCTTTTAATCTATAACTATCTGTACTCTGTCTCTTTAAAGACTTTACCCTTTTTTATGGGCATTAACTTTAGTCTATTTTTTTTTCTCTCTCTCAAGCCTACGTACACTCATCCAACATTGTGATTCTTTTAGTGGTCTTTTATGTCTGAAATCTGTTTTATTGTGAATCTGTAATTTTTTTACTATCCAGAAGCATTTCTTAAAATGTTAAGCACTTCTTAAAAACTGAAGTTGCACCATGTACAGGTAATACGGTACCGCCTGTGTCCTGCCCAGTCGAAACCTTAACTGCGCCATTATTACGGTAATTATGGTAGTTCCTGGATGAAACCAGAACAGTTCAGCATGGTGGAGCAGAGCTACTCCTGCCTCAGAGCCATTTGGTGCCCCTGAGCTACACACAGTTCCAGGCACACAGCAAGTCCACATTGAAACTGCACTCAGCAGTTTAATTCTGAGACTGAGCATGCAGCACAGAAACTCTTTTTATCCAAGTTACAGCCAAATCTGACATGCAGAGCACTGCGCAGTCTGAAAACACGTCTCTGTATGGCGGCAGGAATCCACCATGCTCTTCCACCTGCCTAAGCCTGATTCTGCAGTCTGCCCAGGTGCAGGCAGGGAGCACTGAGCACTCTCCTTCCAATCCCAAGCGGGAACACAAACATCCAGTCCCATAAAAGCCATTGAAATGCTTTAAAGCCAGAGTTCACGCTGGCAGCGCAGCCCCAAGAAGCTGCGCTTTAAAATGACACAGCATTTTTTCTGCTGCTGTTGCCGAATCAGGAAATCTCTCTACAGCACACCACCAACAAACAGCAAAAATCTGTGTTAAACTCTCTCCCTTATTTTTAAGCCTTCTCAGGTTTTTAAGTGGATTTAGTCCATCATGTCGGGCGCCACTCTGTTGAAATAATAAACGGCAGGCTACATTCCTGGTACCCGGCCGCCCGCACGTCTAGCTTTACACCCGAAATAATTACACAGAAACTGTATTCTTTTAAACACTGCCTGGCTCATTAGTTCCAGCCTGTTATTGGCTAGCTCTTACATATCGATCTAACTCATTTCTAATATCTCTGTAACACCACAAGGTGTCTTACCAGGGGAGATCTTAACCTGCTTCTGTGTCCGGTAGGAGAATCATGGCGACTCCTTGACTCAGCTTCTTTCTCCCAGCACTCTGTTCTGTTTACTCTGCCTACCTAATTTTATGTCCTATTAAAGGGCCAAGGCAGTCTCTTTATTTAACCAATGAAATTAACACAAAACAGAAGACTCTCCCCCATCAAAGCCCCACTCAAGCAATCCAGACTCTTTGGATATAGGGGTGTCAGCAGCTGGGGTGATGCTTCCAACCTGTCCTGGAACTAGCTCTTGTAGATCAGACTGGCCTCGAACTCACAGAGATCCGCCTGCCTCTGCCTCTTAAGTGCTGGGATTAAAGGTGTGTACCACCACCATCTGACTCCAACCAAACAGTTTTAAGGTGCACTGAAGTTAGTAACCTGAATTTTGTACAATTTCCAAAAATATATGACACATTTTCTGGTTGTATATTTTAGGCTACAATTGGGAAAACCATAATATTGAAGAACATTGTCAAACTTCTAGAAGACATGGAAGGTAATTTTCATGTGTAAGCCGATACAAATATGCATATGAAATTTAAATGAGTCCTGAAGTTTTGAAGAAAAGCAACAGTGTAAACAAGCACATCTTAAAGTGTATCGATTATTAAATTCTCACAAATCCATATATCTCATTGTCAGGTAGTTGATCCGTCTTTGCAAGACATTCCTCTAAGAAAGAAGACAAGGAAACAATGCCTTAACTGATATGACCGTTTGAATCAAAATACCATAAGAGCTAGGATGTAGAACTACAAACTCTTCTAGTTTCACAGCACTCAGATATTGCAAAAGTTATACACATTGAATAGGTGATAAGGATCTGTCCAAAACCTTCTGATAAGCAAATAGTCCCCAGTAAAGCTAGTGTTACTCATATATTTGTAGTGATTTTGCTAAGTTTAATGAGAGAGGGTGTTTATGAGACTAAGAAGGTTGCTGGGGAAAACCTTAATTCCTGTCTATGAGGAACAGAACAGCAATCTGTGTAAATGCAATGTGGAAACCTTTTATTTGTTGTTCTTCCTCTGATATGTCACTTTGGGTACAAGCATTTTGAACACAGGATTATGGAAAGAGGCAGTGTATTTCTCTCTCTCTCTCTCTCTCTCTCTCTCTCTCTCTCTCGACAATTAGAAGATATGTAGTAGTCTTCTTGTTGAGTAGACTTGTAGAATGTGATACAAGTTTACAATTAATATTTGTTTTCCAACTTCATTGGTAATACATCAACAAACTCACACTGCAGAAAAGCCCTATGAGTATTGGAATGTATAGATATTTCTGTTTGTCATGGTTCACTTTGGAAATGTACTATCATTTACCTATAGGAAATTTTTGAATACAGCAATATGATAAAGCTTGGAGTTCTTTCATTTCTCTTCAAATATGTGAAAAATGTCATATAGAAATAAGATGCTATAAATGTGAGCCATGTAATAAAGGGTCTTGTCATCATAGGTATTTTCAAAGACCCAAAATAAACAACCCTTAACAAAAGGGAATACCATGTGTATAACCCTAAGATCTTATCCCTTTTTACATTTAGATCAAATTGTAAAATTAATTCATAAATATGTAAAGATTCATCAGTGTAATGAATGTGGTAAAGCTTTTACATGTACCACTTGTCTTTGCAGGTACACAGGAAGTCATACTGGAGAAAAACCCTCTGAATATACTCACTTCGCCTATCACAGGCATCTTCAAAGGCGTGAAGGAATTCATACTCGAGAGAAATCCTGTGAATGTAATCAATGTGGTAAAGTTTTTACACACCGTAGTAGTCTTCGAATACATAAAAGGACACATACTGGAGAGAAACCTTATGAATGTAATCAATGTGATAAAGCCTTTGTAAGTCATGGTCTTCTTCGGAAACATAAAAGGACACATACTGGAGAGAAACCTTATGAATGTAATCATTGTGGTAAAGCCTTTGCACAACATTGTAATCTTCAGATCCATACAAGAACACATACTGGAGAGAAACCGTACAAATGTAATCAATGTGGCAAAGCCTATGCACGTCACAGTCATCTTCAAATACATAGAAGAACACATACTGGAGAGAAGCCCTACAGATGTAATCAGTGTGGTAAAGTCTTTTCAGAGCAATGTAATCTCCGAATACATGAAATAACCCATACTGGAGTGAAAGCCTATGAATGTCATGAATGTGGTAAAACTTTTGCACATCAGAGTTATCTCCGTATTCATAAAAGAACACATACTAGAGAGAAACCCTATGAATGTGATCAATGTGGTAAAGCATATTCACGTCACAATCATCTTCAAGTACATAAAAGAACGCATACTGGAGAGAAACCCTACAAATGTAATCAATGTGGTAAAGCCTTTGCACAGCAAACTAATCTCCAAATACATACAAGAAGACATACTGGAGAGAAACCCTACAAATGTCATCAATGTGGCAAAGCTTTTACAAGTAATGGTCAGCTTCAAATTCATAAAAGAAAACATACTGGAGAAAAACCTTATCAATGTAATCAATGTGGGAAAACCTTTGCACATCAAGGTAGTCTCCACATACATAAAAAAGTACATACTGGAGAGACACCTTACAAATGTAATCAGTGTTTGGCAGCCTTTGCACATCACAGTCATCTTCGAATACATAAAAGAACACATTGGAGAGAAACCCTACAAATGTAATCAGTGTGATAAAGCCTTTGCATATATCAGCTGTTGTCCAAAATCATGAGAAAAAGTTATACTGCAGAAAAGCCCTATAAATGTAGTGAGTGTGGAAAAGTTTTGCCCTTCATAATATTAACACAAGAGTAAACCTTGATATGTTAAGACCTTTGCATATCAGAGTAGTTTTTGAGAACCTCAAAAAACTCATACCGAAGGCAATCTGAAGTGAAAGGATTTGGTAAGATCTTTAGCCAACATACCTAAATCCAGTTACACAAGATTGAAGGGGAAAAATTCTGACGTGTCAACAATCTGTTCAAACATTTGATGTCCCTCTTTATTCCATTTGTACCACCAAATACAAATGGACGAAATCCCGGTGAATTTAAAAAATAAGGTAACCCTTTCAGATTTTACACTTTACTTCACTTACATGAAATAACTCACTTCGCTTACATGAAATAACTCATCCATGTATAAAACTCCATGGATGTATAATAGTGCCTTTTCTGTTGCTGTGATGAACATAATATCCAAGCCACCTTAGGAAAGAGTTAATTTTCCCATGGGATCACCATGAAGTGGCAGGGCTCCAAGTGTCAGGCTAAGTAGCCTTCAGCATGAAGCAGAGAGTGGGAAGTAGAGATGGTGTGTGGATGGAAAGTCTCAGGCCTGCCCCCGGGACACATTTCTTCAGCCCAGCAGCATTGTTTAAGTCTTCCCACATGATACAGCCAACTGTGAAGGATTAATTTCTCTGACTTCAAGCTGACATGCTTGCTTTCTGTTACATGAACAAATTCAAGATGAAGAAAAACCCTGTAAGTAAGCCTTTAAATGACTCACCACCTGTGTTACAGGCATGAATGCTTCGACAAGATAAAACATGAGTGAAAATTTGTTTAAAGATTTGGTTTAATTTTAATTATGTAATGTTATTGTGTCTTTGTGTGGATATGTGCATGTGCATGCTGATACCCAAGAAAGTTAGACCCTAGGATTCTCTTGTAGCAAGAATTACAGGTAGTTGTCAAAAACCTGACCTTGGTTCTGGGAATGAACTTCTCATGTCTGCTTGCCATATCTCTAGCCCTGTAAATATTTATGCTTTTAATATCATCTTGATACCAGGAAATATGGAAGAACTCAGAAAAGAGAAAAACCCTATTTATGGAAATGATTTTGTAAGACTAGACATCACAGTTGTCTTCACTTTCAAAAAGAAAATTCCTGTTTCATCTCTTTTTCATTGTAGCCTTCAAGTAAGTAAATAATTGACCCTGTTCACTCAAGACTGATGGTTGAGATTACAGCATCGTGATTTCTATTTTGTAGTATTTGGGGTAGATATTAAAAGTGTGTTGTTATATGTGCGCCCAATTGAAACTTCACAACAGAAGATTCTACAATGGCTAGTAAACACTTAAAGAAATGTTCAACATTCTTCACCATCAAGGAAAAGGAAATCAAAACTACTTTGAGATTTCATCTTATACCTGTCAGAATGGCCGGGATCAGTTGAGCAAATGACAGCTCATGGGGAACTTTCCTTACTTTCTGGTGGGAATATAAAGTTGTATAGCCACTATGGAAATCAATATAGCAGTTCTTCAGATAATCTGTCTACTTAGATGCAGCTATACCACTATTAGTCATATACCCAAAAAATGTTCCTCCATCTTACTACAAGTACACTTGCATAACCATTTTTCTAACAGCTTTATTCATAATAACCATAAACTCCTATGTTTGTGAGAGATTGTTGGTCGATGATTGATGTGGGACGGTTCTTCCACTAAGGAATATCCCTTCTCAAGTGGGCCTCAGATGGATAAGAGCTAGTTAAATATGAGACAATGACGATGCAAGAGAAAAAGCCAAGAAAGATTGTTTGTCATGCTTTTTGTCTTCAGTTGCTAGCTTGAGTATTTATCATAAGCTTCCAAAATGACAGAATCAGAAAAACAAAAACAACAACAACAACAACAAAAAACCCCATTCATTACCTGAGGTTCTTTTGGCTAAAGGATTTAATCAAAGGAGCAGAGAATCATGTTAGAACAACAACAAAAAAAAAAAAATGTGCCACCAAAAGTGATATTGTTGCTGCTGGTCAGAACCTGATAATATTGTCTTTTGGAAGAATGTGGAAGATTTCCATACTTTAGATTAGAAAATACCTGCAAAGCTGTACACAGAGCTTAACTGTCTCTTCTTGTAGAACCTGGAAGTGTTGAGAGTAATACAGACAGTGGAAGTCGAGGTCATAGAATTTCAGTTGGAAACAGACTCAATGAAAAATTAAGTTAGAGAACATTTGTGTGATATATTGACCAAAAATCTCTCCTATTTTGCCCATGCCCTGAGAAATTGAGTGAGGAGGTAGCATTAAAAAGTAATGGCCTGCTTTCTTAGATGGAATGTTAAGTCTGTTGGACGATTATTAGTGATGGCTTGCTTCTTCAGGTCCACAGTTAAAAAGTTAGCAAGTGGGACAGAAATAAGTGATTATGATAAGGTAGTTTCAGATGGCCGTCAAGTGCTGAAGCAGGCAGGAATTTTTCAAGGAGATTTTCACCTTTAAAGAGGAGGCCCTTGTTCTTCAGTGGAAAATAGCTAGGTGTCCTAAAACTGATACTCCATTGATTAATGGAAAGATTAGGCAGAGTGATTCCGAGTTGCAGAAAGCAGCTTCCTACTTAGCCTGCTGCAACTGTGGTCCAAGTGATACAGGTTCCATCCTAATTAAGAAGCTGGTCTTGGCAGGATCTGCCACGTTGTGCTGGTTCTGGAACCAGGAAAGAGTCAAAATGTCAGGGTAGGAGTTGATGGTGTGTGGTTTTAGTTTAACACTGTTGTGTGTGTCTATATTTGGCAGTGTTGTGAGTTCATTGCCTGAAGCTGTGAGATTGAAGCCTGGGTTGCATTTTGAGAGCACAAGATGTTGAAATATCTAAGCTATGAGACATATTCCATGGAGAGATGTATGATAAGTTGCAGGAAAAAGTGAGGCACCTAAGCCCTTTGAAACCGAAGCTCCATTTGTCTGAGACAGAGCTGCAGGATTTGGTGTTTGCCCTCCTGGGTTTCAGTCTTGCCTTGCTCCAATCTCTCCTTACTATGTCTCTGTTTTTCTCTTTTGGGATAGTAATGGGTATTCTGTGCCATTTTATGTTGGAAAGATGTCACTTGTTTTCTGATTTTTCAAGATGTCACTATTGCCTTGAGTGTCAGAAGAGACTTTGGACATTTAAATGGTATAGTGTAAACCGCTTTTGGGTGGGTTACTCAGTTTAGTCAGTTATTCCAGGGTCCCGGAGAGGCACTATCTGGAAGATAATGGGCTAAGAGAGAAGAAGGAGGCTAAGCGGGGTTCTTGTCAAAGCCTCCGTTTATTAGAGACAGGGTCACAGCTTATATAGGATAAGGAATTTGGGGGGGAAGGGAGAAGAGCCTGGGCTCTTGCCGCATCGTTCATGTTGGTCATGTAGGCCAGGAGGTTACGTTCGGTCAGGTCACGTAGGCCAGGAGTTCACAGGTTGACACACCTAGTTCTCTAGATAGTTTGGAATGTGGGGCGGGTTCCGCTAACAGATAGCTCTCTATTAACAGCTAATTGAGTGTGGGGTAGGCTCTGTCAATAGAACGATTCTTAACACAATTGGGGGTGTGGGGTTCTCTGCAGACTCCCCAGGGCGATGGTTCCTGAAATAATCCTAGGAGGAAATGGCTCCTGACAGTATAGGGACTGTTGAAGGCTATGATAATTATTAAATCAGTAAGTTCATTTTTTATGGAATGATCAAGAGTCTGTAGTGACCTGAGTCAGAATGTAGCCAATTGAATGAAAAGCCCCAGATAGGATGATTTATTTGAATACTTATTTATTTATGGTGAGTATCTTTGGGATGCTTGTAGAACCTTCAGGACTCACTGGAGATGGGATTTGCATGTTTATATATAATCTCAACCATTTTCTGGACTTTGTGTCCTTTTTTCATGACTTCACCATCACTGTAGATGATATCACTAAAGCACATGAGATACAGTTGAACAATTGCTATTCAATGCAATTTGTTAGGCTGATTTTTTTTGTTTGTTTTCATTTCTGTTTTTTAAGGCAAGGTTTATCTGTGTAGTACTGGCTGTTCTGAAAGTAGCTCTGTAGACCAGGCTGGCTTCAACTCAGAGATCCAAGTGATTCTGAGCCCCGGAGTGCGGGTTGTAAAGGTGGGCCTGGGTTTTTGAAATATATATATTATTGCCTGATAGGTCTGGAACTAGGTTTTTGTATGCATGTCAAGCATATGCTGTTGTACTGATTTTTCACCTGCATCTTGAATTTTGAAATTTGGGTTTCATTCTTTTTCCCAGGTTGGTAATATTCATGAAATTAATACTGCCTGGACATTCTGAGTCACAGAATTCCAAACGTGTGACAATCCTCTTACCTTATTTTGAATTCCTATGAACAAATATTATTTTTTTTGCCCATATGCATGTTTATGTACCACATGGATACATATACTTGCTCTTCACAGTAGTCAGAAGATGGCCTCATCATCCCTGCAACTTGGAGTAATGGATAGTTGTGAGCCCCGATTTAAATACTGGCAATTGAACCACCTATGTGCAAGACTAGCAGGAGATCTTCACTACTGAACCATCTGTCCTCCCCTGTGTTCTTTATTAATAACAACATTTCATTGCTAATATTTTCATCTGTCCATTTGTAACTGCATTCCATTTTAGTAAGATCTTATTAATGTGACAGTTTAATCTGCAGCACCTCAGGTTCCTGGAAGATGAATATAGAACTGGAG